AAACATGAACAAGACCATTACATGAAACATGAACAAAACCATTACATGAAACATGAACAAAACCATTACATGAAACATGAACAAGACCATTACATGAAACATGAACAAGACCATTACATGAAACATGAACAAAATCATTACATGAAACATGAACAAAACCATTACATGAAACATGAACAAAACCATTACATGAAACATGAACAAAACCATTACATGAAACATGAACAAAACCATTAGATGAAACATGAACGAGACCATTACATGAAACATGAACGAAACCATTCCATGAAACATGAACAAAACCATTACATGAAACATGAACAAAACCATTACATGAAACATGAACAAGACCATTACATGAAACATGAACAAAACCATTACATGAAACATGAACAAAACCATTACATGAAACATGAACAAAACCATTACATGAAACATGAACAAAACCATTACATGAAACATGAACAAGACCATTACATGAAACATGAACAAAACCATTACATGAAACATGAACAAAACCATTACATGAAACATGAACAAGACCATTACATGAAACATGAACAAGACCATTACATGAAACATGAACAAGACCATTACATGAAACATGAACAAGACCATTCCATGAAACATGAACGAAACCATTACATTAAACATGAACAAAATCATTACATGAAACATGACCAGCCTCCCTAGCCACTAAAATTCGAGATGCTCTCTTCCGTTCTCTCCAGTTCTTCCTCTCTCACTAACCCCCCCACCCCCCACCCCCCGCGTCACCGCCAACCCCCTTTTTTCACTCTGCTTTTTTTTCAGATTCATTCCAAAATTTTGTATTGAGTTTTATTATTGACTAATGTATTATTATTATTATTATTATTATTATTGAAAAATGTATCTTTTTATTATTGTTCCGAATTCATTTGTATAAGTAAAACCTCATTTTGTACAAAAACAAAATGGCCGACCAGCAAGTGTTTAGGAAAAGTCACGCAGGTTTCATATAAGGGGTTTGAGACAAACCTAATGGTTGAGACTGGTTCATTTTCTCGTTGGAAAAAAACAACAAAACAGGGTTTATCATGCTTTAAAATCATCTTTGATTTACTTAAAAATGTTTTTAAAGATAAACTAAAAAAGGAACATAAAATGTGTTTTTTTTTGGGTTGGTCAAAATCGTAGGTACGATACATCAGCGAGATGGTAGAATCTTCACGGTGTGGTAGCATTTCCACGGGATGGTAGTATTTCTACGGGATGGTAGTATTTCCACGGGATTGGTAGCATCTC